GGTGCCTGTTAGGTACCAGGTCTCCCAATAGCCCTCTAGGGAGGCCTCCCAGTTTGCAGACAAGGAGAGCAAGGCCCAGCAGAATTCAGTAGTTTCCCCAAGCTTTCAGCCAACAACTAGTCAATCTCAGGTTCAAAGTCAGGCTTCAGAGCCACACCTCCCAAGTGCCATTTGCCTTCTCTCCCACCCTCAGTTGTCCTCTGGTATCCACCTGTTTGTCATTGGTCTCTTGTCTTTGTGCTAGTTCTGCAGCAGCTGCCACCCGTTGGATGAGTGTGGCCGCCTTGCAGAGTACACAGGGCAGTGGTGTGTGACTTGGGTCACCTAGGTTCTCACCCTGGGCCTGCCAGTAGCTTGTGTGCGGCCTTGAACTGTTTTCTTCCCCTCTGGACTTGTGGACACGGTTGGGACTTGCCCATCTCCAAGGGCCTCCAGCTTTGCCTTCTCGGAGGACAGTGGCAGAGAGGGAAGATGGGGGTGTTTCAGTTTCCCAGGGGCCGACGTTTCAGCTCTCAACAGAACACAACCCACCATCTCACCAAAAAAAGCCTCTTTCCAACTCCCATCCAGAAATAAAGACGGTAGATAAATAAGCAACAGTAGCCTTTTTCGGGGAACCAGAAATAGCCTCCCGGGCTCCAATGCCGCCTGTAGAAAGAGTCTATTCTGTCTCTATTTGGGGCGAGGAGCTGCTGACGACGTTGCGAGTTTCCCATGGTTGAGCTGGAGGAGCCTCTGCTGCCGCAGTTTGTCTCGTGGGACAGGCCGGTGTGGTTCCTGCCCCCGAGGCTCTGGCTTCACCGCTACAGGGCCTGGTTCCTTCCCCAGCCCTCCCGCTCAGCCAGGTGCCCTCTGTCCACAAGCTAGACTGGCACCACCATCCTCATCTGAGGCTGGTCTGGCGTGTGCAGGTGGACAGCCCCGTGTCCCTCAGCAGGGCCTTTGCGCAGCCTGCCCCCCCGCGCATGGCCCATTCCCTCGTCCTCCTGTGTCTTTGCTCAGCGACACACTGCCCTGTCACATCTCCCCCTTCCCGTGGCCCCCCTGACACTCCCTCTCTCGTGCTTGGTGCTTCCTGCGCCCACTGTCTAGCTGGCCACTTACCTATCGGTAAATCAGCCTGGTCCCTCATCTGGGTCCCCTCACCTGGAATGTGAGCTCCACGAGGGCGGGGCACCTGCGCTCCTTCATTACTGTGTCTCTAGCTCCTAAGGTTTGGTTCAGCCCCAACACATTTTTTTTGTTGATGAATGGTTGTTGAAACCAAAATAGGAACAGTAGTCGTTTCTAATTGTGATTTCACGGATATGTCAGGGTGATTTTGGCTGCAAGTAGCCAGCAAGCAGTTCAAGCAGTAAACAAATCATGGTTTGCTGTTCTGGAGTCTGGAGAGGGGGCAGGCTGAGTGAGGGTGGTCGGTCCCTTCCAGCCTCTGCCCGCGGGCTCAGGACTGCCTTTACCCAAGGCTGGGTGTGGCCTCAGTCTCAGGCCCACCCCTGGAGCAGGAGCAGGGTTGGCAGCCAGTGGTGCCTGCTCAGGGTGTGGTCAGCAAGCTCCAAATTAGGATAAAGGGAGAAGACCCTAGCAGTGTGCGTGTGCCCCTCTTTCTTGGTGCACTGGGTCCTTTACCATCTCCTCTGGGTCCTGCCACCACCCAGACTGCCCCCTTACACTGGAGCGTAAGGTTTTGGAAGGGTGGGCATTTCTGCCCTAATGCTTGATGTAGTCCATTCACTGGATATGTCCTGTCTCTGCATTTCATCTGGGCCCCTAGCATTTCTGGGGGAGCACTCCCCTGTCCTTCTCTGACTTCACCGTGGATCTGGGGAGTGGTGGGGTGGGGACAGGACTCTGCAAGTTTGCAGGAGGATTGCTTCATATGAAGCATTTACTTAGCCCAGTGTCCCATGGAGGGTTTTCTTTTCTTTCTTTTTATTTTATTTTATTGATATAACTCATGTACCGTAAAATCACCTGTTGAAAGTATACATACAACTCATTAGTTCTGAATATATTCACAAAGTGCTGCAACCATCTCTACTATCTAATTTCTCATCACTCCAAAAAGAAATGTCTCCATTAGCAGTCGCTCTCATTCCCCCCACTCCCCCGGCCCCCCAGTCCCTGGCAACCACCAGTCTCCTCTCTGTCTCCATGATGGGCTTATTCTGGACATTTCAGGTAATCGAAGTCATATAACATGTGGCTTTTGCGATTGGCTTCCTTCACTTAGCATAACGTTTTCAAGGGTCATCTACGCTGTTGCCTGTATCAGCACTTCATTCCTTTCTGTGGCTGAATAGTATCTCCTTGTGTGGATAGACCACATTTTGTTTGTCTGTTCATCAGTTAATAGACATTTGGGTTGTTGCTGGTTTTTTACTATTGTGAATAATATTAGGATGATTTCCGTTCTCTTGGTTATATACCTAGAAGTGGAATCGCTGGGTCACATTGTAACTGTGTTTAATTGAGGAACTGCCAGACTGTTTTCCAAAGCAGCTGCACCATTTTACATCCCCTTCAGCAATGTCAACACTTGCTGTTTATTGTCCATTTTTTTCCCTGTAGCCATTCTAGTAGGTGGGAAGTAATATCTCATCGTGGTTTTGGTGTGCGTCTCCCTGATGGCTAATGATTCTGAGCATCTTTTCATGTGCTTTTTTTAGCCTTTTGTATGTCTTATTTTGAGAATTGTTCAGATTCATTGCCCATTTTAAATTTGGGTTGTCTTTCTATTACTGGTTTATTAATAGTTCTTCATATATTTTGGATACTAGACCCTTATCAGATGTGTGATTTGCAAACATTTTCCCCCATTCTGTGGGCTGTCTTCACTTTCTTGATAGTGTCCTTTGAAGCCCAAGTTTTTAATTTTGATGATGTCAGATTTATCTGTTTTACCTTTGGTTGCTTGTGCTTTTAGTGTCTAAGAAACCATTGCCTAATGCAAGGTCGTGAAGATTTACCCCTGTATTTTCCTTTGAAAGTTGTACTATTTTAGATCCTATATTTAGATCACGGTCCATTTTCAATCAATTTTTGTATACGGTGTGAGGTAGGGCCCCTGCCAGGCTGGGTAGGCGCCTGTCCTAAGCCTGCCCTGCAGCCTCGTTTCTTTAGGCCTCAGGTCCCATCTGCCAGGGCTGGACTGCAGAGGCTGAGCTGGCTGCAAGGGCTGTGCTTGCAGCGATGAGCCTTTCTTTGCACAGCTCTCTCCTCCCTCCACAGTTGTGGAAGGGCCTGCCAGCCCCTCACCATGTTTGCACTGTGGCTCTGAATCTGAGCTGGGGGTGCAGAGATGGGCTTGGTGTCGATAGTGGCCTACAGCTGAGAGCCAGGATGTATTCCCTACCCTGATTTTCCTGACTGATTTGTCTTTTCCTGGTCTGCCATGTGAGCCTGGCTCTCCATCCTGCTCTGACACTGACCGTCACATGACCATGGGCAGAGCTGGCCTCTCAGGCCTGTTTCAGCTTGGGGGCGCTGTCACAGCCTTTGAGGGCTCAGTGAGCGCTCCATGTGGAAGACCTGCAGCTCTGTCCGCCAGGGCTCTGTGGACTCAGCCAGCACTGGCTCCAGACTGCCCTCCTGGGGTCCCTCAGAAGCTCTGCAACCCCAAAATCTGCCCACACTCTTGCCTACTTGGAGTTTGGACTTTTGGGGGAGGGGGTGGGGAGGGACAGTAAATCACCTTTAATGTGTCCTGTATGATTCTCTGCCTTTGTTTATATGAGATGTGAGGCCGGACCTTGCCCTGGGTTAATGTACTGACCTCCTGGCCAGCCAAGTAGACGAAGGCTGTTGGAGACAAGCCGTTTTGTTTGTTTACTTTGGTTTGGTTTCCAGTTTGTGGGTGGGGGACACCCCCACCCCACTAATGCTCAGCTTTTCCTGTCCCCTGTGCCCAGAGGTACAGGGTGGTCCCACCTCCTGGGCAGCTGGTGGTCTGGTTGGGGGGAGACTAGACATGAAGTAACAACAAACCAGTAATGCAATTTAAAAATCAGCGGACAAAAGTCAGACTACATCTGCTCTGCCACAAATTTACCCTCATTCAGAGCCTGGCACTGCGGGTGTCCTGATGAACAGGGCAGGCTAAGCTCCCAGAGCTCTCCAGAAAACCAAACACGTCTACACTCCACTGGGTTGGGTGCCCAGAGGAGGCTGGCACCCCTCTGAGGCAGGGTCTCAGGAGATCCCAGGGGCCCCAGATGAGTAGGAAGGCACGGGAAGGGGTCAGGGCTGGGCGGGGCTGGAGAAGGGGGTGGGTGTGCTGGGTAGGAGTGAGGGAGCGAGGGCAGGCGCGGGCAGGCGGTGGCTGGCAGCGGCTGGCTGGATGGGTCAGGAGCTGTTTTGTTTCCCACCTTTCCTTAGGTGGTGAGAGGGTGAGGGCTGGCCTGGCCGTGGGAAGGAATGGCTGTGTGGCCCCGGGCACGCCCTTTAACCTCCTGGCCTGGGCTTCCTCTCCGGGTTATTTTGCAGACTTCAGAGGTGATGTGTGCAAAGCTTTACAATGCTACACATGCGCTGAGAGCTCAGTGAGCAGCCTCGATCCTGCGATTATTGTTAAGCCAATACAGCATGTGGTGGGGAAATGTCTTTAATGAGCCAGAAGAATGTTGATAGTGGATTGAGTGAAAATTCGGGTTACGCGACAGTATCCTGTATAAAGGTCTCTGAGCATTGGCTGTGCGCCTAAATTGTCTGTGTGCCTAAGGAGGTGGTGGGAATGTGTGTGGTTTTTCCTCTTCTTTGATCTTTGGGTTGTACAGTTATATGTTGGTTTTATAATTATAGAAGTGTTATTGGAAGAAGTAATTTTAAAATGTGCTGTTCTTTGTATGTGTGTATGTGTTCACACACGACTGTGGAGTTCGGGGTGCTGTCGGGAGAGCACGGTATTGAGGGTAGCCCCCAGGGAGGTGGGCTTGTCCCCAGAAGTGGGCCCTGGGTGGCCAGCGGGCAGGGTGCTGATTCTGAGTTTCCTCTGTCCGCAGATGACAGGATCTGCTCACCGCCCTTCATGGAGCTCACGAGCCTGTGCGGGGATGACACCGTGCGGCTCCTGGAAAAGAATGGCCTGACGTTCCCATTCAGTGTGTAACTGCGCCCGGGGCCCCGGGCGGGCAGGCAGGCGGGCGGGCAGGCCATGGACCTGGTGGAGCTGTCTGGCCCCCCTGGTCTTAAACTTTCAGAGGGTGGGTAAAGGCCTTGGCTGCCAAGGGCCTTGGGTGCCCCCCCCAGCGCGCGCACACACACACACGCACACACACACGCGCACACACACACACACACACACACACACACACACTATGGAAATGGGTGGTGTGAACAGAAGGTGCTTCTGTCTGGTGGGTCGGTCCAGAGCACCCTGAGGCCTCTGCCGAGTCAGCGTGTCTCCCCGTCTCACCTGCCTCTACCCCCGAGGGGCCACAGGAGTTTGAGTTTCTCCCTGTACACCTGCCAGGCTGGGCTTTGTGGATGAGTGACCTCACTGATTCCACTCTGCTTTTCTCCCCACCCCACCCCCCACAGTTTGCAAAACCAGAGTGGCTCATGGCACCAACTCCCACGAGGTGAGTGGAAGATTTGACGACCTGCTGAGTCTGTGCTGCATCCCATACCTGCTGCTCCCACTCCCCGTCCTGCTTCTGGCGGCTTTGTATTCTGTCTCCAGTCTCGCCCCCTTGCCTGTCCCTGTCCTTCCGAGGCCAGGATGGGTGTGTGAGCCGCCGATTGAGCCCATGCAAGTCACACCCCAATCTGACCTATCTTGGCTGTCCATTTTTTGGCCCATCAGTGTCTGCACTCCTTGGGTGCCTGTTCAGTGCCAGCCACCAGGCTACCCCCACCTAGGGCTGTGGACTGAAAAGATCCCATCCCTGCCCTCAAGGATTGGCGGTCCTGCTAAATTTGGAAAGGGCAGGGGAGGCAGAAGGGGCACCCTACCTACACGCTCTCATCCATTTGTTATTCACCGAGCAGTCATTCCTGACCCCACCTCAGTGCCAGGGGAAGGATGCTGAAGATGTGAGTCCTGACCCAGTGTGGAGACAGTCCCTGAGGCAGACAGCACCAGTGAGATGTGGTGTAGGAGACTAATGAAGAGGCCTTTTGGGGGCGGGAGGACTAGACAGCCAGGCAGGGGCTCTATTGGGTCTTTATTGCCTTCACCACCCTTGGGAGCCACACCTGGGACATGACCTTCAGCTCTCCTCGCCCCCTTGCATTTTACACCCTCAGGGGCCCAGCCCTGTTAGGCACAGGGGATGGCGCACCAGACATTTGAGCCACGGAGAAGGCCCTCTGGGAGAGCCTGACCCTGGCAGCCCCACCCGCAGAAATGCTCCACATGACCTATGACTAAACATGGTGACCTGGCAGCAGCACCCCGTAGAAGATTTATGCAGTGCCCTTTATCCCTGGCTTGTATTTATGGGGAAATGTCTGTAAACAGACCTTGTCGGTACCCTACAGTACCCGCCGTGAGGGGGGCTGCGAGGCCAAGGGGCACCTCTGCTCGTGGGAAGGAATGTGGGGGCAGGAAATCATGGCCTGCTGCAAAGGCCAGCTGCCTCCTATGGTTGGGAGCCCTCATGGGGCCTTCCCCATCCAGGCCTGCCTAGGCTCTGTGCCAGGATGTGCTCTGTACCAGGCCCTGGGAGGGAACAGCTAGATAGTGCCCCCAGAGCCCATGCTGTCCTCATAGGCACCAGCACCTGCCTGCCAACCTTCCGCCTGGCACTTTCACCACCAAGAGGTTCCTCCTGTGAGGGCCTGGGGGCTTCAAGGTGGAGGATGACCTGTCACAGTGTGATTAGACCGGCGTACTCGGAACAGGCCAGCCTGCGGTGGGGAGGTGCTCTGCCATTCACACAGACCTGGGCCAGGCCTGGCCCTGTGCACAGCCAGCTGTGTGACTTTAGCAGATCGCCCAGCCTCTCTGAGTGTCTGTCCCACGCTTGTAACTGGTGATACGGTGGCAGTTGTGAAGAATAAGGGAGTCGCTGCGTGTGCTGCTGTGGCGCCTGGCACAGGAGTGTTTGGTGCACCTGCTGGGCCCTTGCAGAGGGGCAGTGGTTTGGGACCAGACCCTCAGATCTGAGGCCAGTGCCTTCAGGGGAGGCTGTTTCACCCCTCAGTCTAGCAGTTCCTAGTCTGGCTCCAATATATATGTGACCCCCCATGCCCCATTCCACCCCATAGTGTGCTGTTTCAGAGACAGGCTCCCCATCCCACCCCCCAGGCAGAGGATCTAGACTGTTGGAGACTCCCAAGGGCTTGTACACTGTGGGCTGCCTGCTCCCTGGGAGGCTCTTAGCATCGGGGGGGTGCCCCCTCTAGTGGGGTGCTCTCCACCACAGGAGCCAGGGGCTGGTGGGGCAGGCTCCTCACTAGTCGGGGTGCCTGGGATGTTGAGTGCAGCAAGAAGAACCCCCGGTTGTGTACAGCTCAACCTCTGGAGGACATCTCGGTATGTGTGATTGGTGTGTTCACAGAACTGTTTAGTCCTGCGTTTTGTTTTTAAGCCAAGGCAAGCACACTGGTTTGTTCCACAGTGGAATATCCCCCCACTTGTTTCTAAACCACTGAGCCAAAGCTCAAAGCTCCCCACAGCCCCAACCTGTCCCATGGTGGTTGATGCTACCAGACAGGTAAGGAAAGTGGAGCTTAAATAGGGCAAGCCCCTGTCAGTGGAACTTGAATCCACATCTGGCCTCTTCCCATCCCTTACTCTCATCAGAAGGGTCAGGAGACAGTCACTGCGGGGCACCCACATTTTGTTTCCCATGTGGCCTGGATCTCTCTCTACTTTTGCCCCATCCGGCTGAGGTCAGCCAGGCACATTGGGTGGCGCTCTGTGACAGTTGTTGTGAGGGGCAGCCATGGGGCAGGCAGCCAGCTGTCTAAGCTGTTAATCCCCTCCCAGTAGCCTCCAGCATCTGGTGGCTCCTTCTGGGGCCTGTGGGCACTGTTGGCTGGCTCCAGTAGGCCCTGGGCAGACCCAGCCCCAGCCAGAGCAGAGCGGTTTTCTCTAGCTGTCCCTCTGCCCTGCCTCCCTCAGTCCTCTATCAGGCCCTCCCGTCGGGACTGAGAGTGGCATGTTCATCGGTGTGACTCACTCACTGTGTGAGAGGGCCAGGCCGCATGCCAGGCAGACCCAGGCACATTCCAGGCTGTGTCACTTTCCAGCAAGCCGCTGAGTTTCTCAAGGATTCAGTTTCCCCATCTATAAAAGGGGCACAATAACAGTTCCCGCCTTAGAGGTGCGCTGTGAGGACAGCCCCAGGTGACTCACATAGCAGTTAGAACAGGGCATGTCACGGGTGCTCACTGAGAGACAGCCCTCAGGTTCTGATGCCTGCCTCCCACTCCTGTTCCTCAGTCCTCTGTTTCCTGCCTCCCCCACTGGGCCGTTGTGGAGGGTCCTCTAAGGATGTAATAAGGGTTGAATAGCACACAACCTGAACTACGCTGTGAACAGGGGAGCTACGCAGTGCAGCCAGCCCAACTGTGCATGGCAAGCCCGGTGGCGCAAGATCTCCACCCCCCACAGCAGTGGCTTCATCCCAGTGTTGCTCTGAGTCCCACTCCACTCACCCTGAGAGTCTTCCTGGGGAGTCCGCACGCCAAAGGGCAGAGACAGGCCTTGGTGGCAGTGGCAGTGATGCACCCTGTGTCTGAGGCTGGAGGGGGTGCACTGACAGAGCCCTGGGTCCCTGTCTCCCTAGATGGCCATCGTGTTCAACCAGGAGGGCCTGAGTGCCATCCAGCCACCCTGCGTGGTCCAGAATTTCATCAACCACAACGCCGTCCTGTACAAGGTGTTCGTGGTCGGCGAGTCCTACACGGTGGTCCAGAGGCCCTCGCTCAAGAACTTCTCCGCGGGCATGTCAGGTAACCAAACATACTGTCTTCTTAGCTTGCCCTGAGCTCCAGGGCCCGGCTTGGACGGGGCATCAGCCGCCTGTCCGTGAGCACTAACCGCTGACACCTGTGTCGTCTCTGGAGGGGATGGTCTGAAGGTTGAACAAACCGTGTGCCATAAATTAAGAAGAGATCTTGGAAAAGAAGTGAAAAACTCCTGTCCCACCAGGTCATGGTAGGGGTTCCATTCGTTTAAACCACTGTAAACTCCAAGAAGCCCCTGAAATTTTTCTGTACCCAGGTTGCTTGCTGGGACCCTGTGCAGTGAGATGCAGGAGGAAATGCTGGAACGGATGGCTGGTCCTTCGGGGAAGCGAGCAAGGGAGGGCCCCACATATTTTGAGGGCCAGACAACTGACTATCCGTCCCCTCTTCCAAATGGGGAAACACCAAGTTACTGGCTGCTTAGAGCTGCCGAGGTGAACATGTACCCCCGTAGAGGTCAGCACACAGGGCCTCGGACAGGTCAGCAGTGGGCACGGCACCCTCGCCACACCCCTCACAGGGGTAAGGACCAAATCAGCGATTGTTTTGGATCAGTGGGTAATGGTCCTAAGTGTCCCTCAGAGGTCATACAGTGATGGCATTTGCAGGATGGTGCCATCGTTTGGGGCATCTGAGGTGTCTTATAGGGAGTCTGGTGGCTGCACAAGCTCAGCTTTTCTTCCGTGGCTCCCTTGCCACCTACTGACCCTTGGCCATTTCAAAAACTGACATCAGGTTAAGGATTTGCTGGTGGTGGTGCTGCTCTGGTGAATATCCTAGTGGTTCTGAAGGCAACTCCAAAGCAGGGCCCGGAAACCTTTGGAGCGGCAGCCGCATCTGTGGAATGAGCGTGGCTTCCAGGAGGCCCCTGGGAGGCCGTTGGTTGCCCTGCGCATCTGCTCAGGCGCGCTGAGCACCGGCCTGTGCCAAGGAAGCCCGCCGCTGGGTGGAATGCCCGGGCCGCGCTCTCCATCTGAGCAGACAGATGGGTCCTCCTGAGATTCCTCTGCTGGGACTGCCCGTCACAGTCCCTCCCCATGGTTTCAGGCCACTCTCTTGAGTGAAGTTCAGCTGTTCATGTCTTCCTCTCAGCCAGCTTCCCATTAATGCACCCAGAGCAGACACTTTGGAAATGACCTTCCGAGTGCAGGCGGCCTTCCCAGGCAGGCCTGGGCTCCGGGCCACGACGCTCTTTTCAGGGTTCAAGACATCCCTGTCCTCACTCTGGTCCCAGCCCCCACCCGCTGGGGTGGGATGAGCTGGGGGTGGGTGGACACGTGTCTGCTGGGGTCCTCTGGTATGTTACTGACCACTGGCAAGAGGCATTCTTGTAAACTGGGACTGGAAGGGGCTGACATTCTTAAATCCTCATTTTAAAAAAATATGTGCTTTAAATCTTTGGAAAACGTATTAGATTAAGAGCAGTCCTACCTTATGTAGTCTCCTTTCTGTTTCCTTTTTTAACAAAATCACTCCGTCTCTTAGAGAAATTTACCACAATTTCCTTCCTTTCCACACAGAAAGTGTCCCCCTTTCCTCCTGGTTGCCTGGGGCGGGGCCGTGTCCCGCGGGGCGTGGGCTCCGTGTCTGTGTGTCTTCCTGTGGCCATTTCCTGGTTGCCAGCCTGCCATAAAGTGCTGGCGGGGCCGAATGAATGAGCAGATAAACACACCGCGCCGGTGGAGAGATGTTTACTGGGCTGAGGCAAGCTGAGCACCTTCTAGCGTCTCCACTGTTCACCCCCAGAGCCAACTCCGTGTCTGCCGTCTGTGGGGCATCACCCAGGGAGCTGGCGTGGGCTTTGTTCTTTTTACACGCCTCTTCTCCTTCTGGATGAGACGCTCAGCCTGACACGGTCTGTTTAAGCTGGACCAGTTGACTGGGGGTCTTGGGGCTCTGGGCCCTTTCCAGCCCCCATCCCTGCTTTCTGGTTCCCATTGCCCAGTGTGGTGGCCCTGGCCTTCCCTGTGGCACTGTCAGCTGGGGCCAACATGAGCAGGATTCTCCAGGATATGGGGTAGAGGGGACACTGTCCTTCCCTCCACGGCTGCCACACTCTTTGGGCTCTCAGGTGCACTTTGGTTTTTATGTTTTAACGTCTCAGAAGTTGGGTGTGTCCCACAGCTAGTGGCACCTTGCAAGTTGCGCCTGCTGGAACTGAAGTCATGTTCTTACTCAGGGAGTTGATGGTCTGTGCCAGCCACCAGGAACACTTCCATTATCTGCCTGTGGGTCACAGTCTTGGGGAGACCCCTCCCTCCCTCCACCCCGTGCCAGGGTCAGAAAGGGCACGTTCCTCTACTCCCCCTTCTGTGCAGTGGGTGTATTTCTGTTTCCTTTACTCTGTGGACACTGCGCCTTGATTATACTGTCCATTCTGAGCCTTTTCCCCCTGAGGGTGTGTAAAAGAAGGGTGCCACTTAACACTCAGAGGGGGTCAGGTCAGCAGACGTTTTTCTCCAAACGGCCAGATAGTAAATATTTCCAGCTCCAGCATGATTATCTAATGCTCCACTGCAGCTTGAGCACACTGTAGACACTGTGTAAGTAAATGGGCATGGCTGTGTTCCAGTAAGACTACAGACCCAGGTGGCCGGCCGGGTTTGGCCTGCAGTCCGTAGTTGCTGGTCTCTCATCTAGAACCCCTAAAGTTTGATAAATGCCGTATTTCCTTGAACCTGCCTTATGCCCAGCCCCGGGTGAGAGATCCAGCAGCCTTGTACTTCTATTTTAGTGGGAGAAACCTCACACCAGGAAAGAAATAACAAAAGGATTACTTGAGGCACCAGATGAGTGGGTCTCAGGCCACCATTGGGTAAGGGGAGCCACTTGGACAGGGTGGTCAGGGCTGGCCCCCCTATAGAGGTGACAAGTATATGGGAGCTGGAACAAGACCCAGGCCACCGTCTGTAGCTCTGTGACATCCCCCTTCCCTGCTCCCCCAGAGAGAGACACAAAGATTAAGCAGAAGGGGCTAAAGAAAGTGTGGCTGTAGCTCATGGTCGCACCATCGGGTTACAGGATATTTGGGGGCTAATCTTGTCACTTACTCTCCTTATTTTGAACCTGTTGTTCTCATCTGTAAATTGGGGACAAAAACACCCGTATTCTGTCGTTGCCTGCCCTTCCCTGCAGGGAGGTGGAGATGGCCCTTCACCAGGGCTCTGTCTCGGAAATCGTCCTGGAACAGAGTGAATGGGCCCAATCCAGGGCGTTCCTGCCATCAGAGTGCCAGGGCCTGGCCAGGTCCGTCTTTAGAGGGCCTGGGGCCTGGGTATCTTTTTTTTTTTAAATAAGCTCTGAGCATCATTGAACCTCTATTTATTTTCTTATTTTTTAACCCTCACCCAGGGA